CCCACTGGAGGAATCTAGCATCTCACACAGAAAAGCACCAAAAACCAATGTGGCCCATTTTTTCATAACTGTGTATATATTCCTTATAAATAATTTAAGTGAGACGGTACTCTGTTTAAACTTTGTTATAAAAAATTAGTTAAAAAAAAAGATTGATCTGTAGGCAAACATTTTATTGGTCTGTCTGTGCTGTTCCTGCTTGCAGGCCAGACTCTTCAGGGTTTGAACATGTGTTTGTTGGTGAGACAAGAAGAGGACGGACTGTCATCGGTTTTCACAATTGGATCCAGCTGTACTTACAAGAAAAGCTAGGACACATTGATTACAAAGGCTACAGCGTCACGGCACATTCTCCTCAGGTACAACAGGTTCTCATGTACCTGGTTAAATCTAAATCCACTGCTTGCTTAATTCAACTCGTCCCTTTTTCTATTCTGTTCCACACAGCCGGACGAGAACAAACACATCCTGGCTTTACAGTTCAGCTGGAAGAACGGCATAAAGCCTAAGGGCAGCATCTTCATCGGCGTCAGTCCTGAGTTTGAGTTCGCCCTTTACACCCTTTGTTTCCTCACCTCTCCAAATGAGCGCGTCAAAGTGCAGTTCAGTTTGTACGACGTAGAGATTGTCTGTTACCACTACAATCAAAAACACATCAGCACCACCTACCCTGTGCTGCTTAGATACAGGAATCTTCAGGCAGATTCAACCGGAAATCCATCCGAGATATAAGCAGTCCAACAATTGAGCTTAAAAAGTCTCACCGGTAGCTATGGATACTGCCTTTTTTATTTTACACAAAGATACTATTAAAACTTTTAAGACCTATCTGCATTTTTTTTTTGTGCTATGATATATGCCTACTGCTTTGCGCAAATATTTATATTCCTTGAACTTGTTTTTCACCTTTCGTTATAATGGATGGGCAGTTAACAATCATATCAAATGTATTTTCTAAATAACAGAGATTGGGACCGAAATCATGTTTCCTATGAAAAACAGGTAAACGCTGCTCTGTTAATAAACAAACAAAATAATTTGTCATTTACGCCTCGACAATTTTTGGCTCTTTGTATTGTATGTTTGTTCACACATTCTGTCAGTCGACGAAAAAAAACACGCTGGAAAACGTGTAACCTTCAGAATGTCCAAAAACACCTGAATTACATATTTAAGGATAGAGGGGTTGAAATAAAAACTTAATATGATGAAAAACATAGAAATCTAAAGAAAAACAATTAAAATCCACAAGCGGCTACACTGCCCGTATCAACGTGCAGAAAATTTTGAATATTCTTGTGGAGAAGTTTCAGATCCATTTAAAGGTATAGAGGAGGATTTTCTGAAATTTTTAAAAAGACTCTCCGCTATAAGAAAAAAATGCACCTGCGCAACGCTGTACCCGCTCCCGAGAAGGAATGGCTATTAGACACGTGCGAGAGGATACGCGCTCTGTTTAAAAAAGCTGTTTGAATCGCTCATACAAGCTTACTTTCCAAAAAAAGATTTGCAATTTTTCCACAATGTCAGACTCACCACCAGTAAGTGAAAATGGGTATGAGCACATAGGACGTCCTTATGTAAACATATCACCAGAATGATTGACACTTGAAGGACCACTTATTTTGAAGATCCACCTGGAAAAAGAACATCCTCCACTATACCTTTAAGGTAACTTTAAAATGTGACATTTTGACCATGAAATCGTTATCAGTTACAGCCCTAGATGATTTATATGATCTGTAAATCAGATTAATTGAGCTATTTTTTTTTCTTTTGCTTTATATGTAACCCTTTCTATTGTGATTCACTTATATATATTTTTAAACAGTTGACATTTTATTTATTATTATTTCTTGAATGTTCAATGACCTGTCAGTATGCATCACTTCTCCATCTTCACCTTCGTTCTTCTTATTCATACATTTGAATTCATAGCCACCAAGTTCAAAAGCTGCTCCATGTGCAGTATTCATCAAAGTTTCAGATAGGCCTACAGTAATAATGTTGAATCGTTTTAGGAACTGCCTGTAAATATTCAAATAAAATAGAAATAATATAGAATAGAAACCTTTGTTGTCCCACAGAGGGGAAATTCAGGTTAGATATTAGCAAAAACAAGTGGAAAAAAGAAGGCCTACAAATAAGCACAAGACTAAATACTGTGAAAGCAACAAAAATTTTAAAGGGGAATCTGTATTGCAGAGGAGTAAAAAAGTTTGAAAACAGCTTGTTAAATTTAATGATTTTGACTATAACGTCTTTTGAGATTTTTTTCTTATGTCACTCATTTGTGTTATAACAGTAGGTTTTGTTTCTGGTTGGTAAAAAAGTTAATCTCTTGGTCAGTTTAGGTTCCAAAATCAGTTTGGCCTAAATGATGTTAGTTCCTGATGATCTTATATGTTTATCTATACTGTGCCATCACTATCTGCAGATTTGGTTCCATTAAATGTGTCATTAGTGTTGTGTTGTATTTTATTTAGTACCCACAGCCTACTTACCAGCAATACCTGGGAATCTTGTTGCATTTATTTTAATTTAGTCAACTTACGGTTGGGTGTTGATCTGCTCTGAGTAGTCTCCTTTTGCCTTAAATGCCTTGCTTTCTTGGTGAGGCAAACATTTTGATTGGTGATATACACTCACCGGACACTTTAATAGGTACCCCATGCTAGTAACGGGTTGGACCCCCTTTTGCCTTCAGAACTGCCTCAATTCTTCGTGGCATAGATTCAACAAGGTGCTGGAAGCATTCCTCAGGGAGTTTGGTCCATATTGACATGATGGCATCACACAGTTGCCGCAGATTTGTCGGCTGCACATCCATGATGCGAATCTCCTGTTCCACCACATCCCAAAGATGTTCTATTGGATTGAGATCTGGTGACTGTGGAGGCCATTTGAGTACAGTGAACTCATTGTAATGTTCAAGAATCCAGTCTGAGATGATTCCAGCTTTATGACATGGCGCATTATCCTGCTGAAAGTAGCCATCAGAAGTTGGGTACATTGTGGTCACAAAGGGATGGACATGGTCAGCCACAATACTCAGGTAGGCTGTGGCGTTGCAACGATGCTCAATTGGTACCAAGGGGCCCAAACAGTGCCAAGAAAATATTCCCCACACCATGACACCACCACCACCAGCCTGAACTGTTGATACAAGGCAGGATGGATCCATGCTTTCATGTTGTAGACGCCAAATTCTGACCCTACCATCCGAATGTCGCAGCAGAAATCGAGACTCATCAGACCAGGCAACGTTTTTCCAATCTGCTATTGTCCAATTTCGATGAGCTTGTGCAAATTGTAGCCTCAGTTTCCTGTTCTTAGCTGAAAGGAGTGGCACCCGGTGTGGTCCTGCTGCTGTAGCCCATCTGCCTCAAAGTTCGACGTACTGTGCGTTCAGAGATGCTCTTCTGCCCACCTTGGTTGTAACGGGTGGTTATTTGAGTCACTGTTGCCCTTCTATCAGCTCGAACCAGTCTGGCCATTCTCCTCTGACCTCTGGCATCAACAAGGCATTTCCGCCCACAGAACTGCCGCTCACTGGATGTTTTTTCTTTTTCAGACCATTCTCTGTAAACCCTAGAGATGGTTGTGCGTGAAAATCCCAGTAGATCAGCAGTTTCTGAAATACTCAGACCAGCCCTTCTGGCACCAACAATCATGCCACGTTCAAAGTCACTCAAATCACCTTTCTTCCCCATACTGATGCTCGGTTTGAACTGCAGGAGATTGTCTTGACCATGTCTACATGCCTAAATGCACTGAGTTGCCGCCATGTGATTGGCTGCTTAGAAATTAAGTGTTAACGAGCAGTTGGACAGGTGTACCTAATAAAGTGGCCGGTGAGTGTATATAGATTTGAATCCATGAACACAAACACACAGCTAAGGACAATTTAGAGTCACCAATCTAACCTAACAGTCTTTTAGACTGTAGGAGGAAGCCAGACCCAGAAAGATCCCAGACATGCATGGGGAGAACATGCAGACAACATGCAGAAAGACCCTAGGCCAGGATTCAAACCCAGGAGCTTCTTGCTGCTTGGCAACAGTGCAACAAACTGAGCCAGAGGCAGTCCGTTACTATGTTTGAATTTTTTTCTTCCTCAATGTGTAGTAAATCTATATACAATGACCGCTTCACTTTCATAGATATTGCACTTTTATGCAATATATATATGTTTTCAATTACCTGTAGGTTAATGGGTATAAACACTTTTGCAAGGCACTCTAGATCAGTGAGTTCCTCTAAGCGATTTCTGTTTATGTTTGACAAACTGATGTCAGGCCTGTCCTAAACTTATTTATTTTATTTATTTCTTATATTTTTAATCAGGACAGAGCACATTAATGAACAATCTTATTCTCCTGTACAGATTGTAAATGAGCCAAAAATATAGTTGCTAATTTACACCTGTCGTCCTGAGGCAGGAAGACAAAACAACACAAGATCACATAATACAATATCAGTCAAAACACATAGACACACTTTCAAACAATGACATTACAACAATAAAATGAGTGGGTGCATGACTGGGAACTTTTATGAATTTTAGTAGCCATTATTCAATTTTTGGTCATAAATTACACCAGATAAAAGTTCCAAAAAAGTAAGAAAAAAAAATCCACTTTGTTTCCACCAGATAAATTTTTTTTCTTCCATATAAGATTATTTTTTCTTTCAAATGGTCGTTCCAGTTTTCACCAGAAGGGGGAAGTAGAGAGTTTGTTGTGGTTTATTACGTCAATCATTTGCCGAGGCGGAATGTCCTTAATCAAGTTGGCAAAAGAAAAGGAAGCTGACAGGGTTACATTTCAAAGTTAAAGTCGGTAAACATTTGCTGAAAGTCGAATATAAAATAAAAATATATATAAAAAGGGGAATTAAACATAAAAAATACCATCGTGTGTCTTTCAAATTGTCTAAACATATACATGATTTGGGTAACACTGCCATGGCTCTTCAATGCTAGCAGGAAGTGGAAGCTAATCCGTTCAGCGGTGTTGTAGCTTTACAGCATTAACAGCTTCCTTTAACCGAGGAGAAGCAGTTTTCAATTTTGTTGACTGTCGAATGTTTTAGTTTCACTGTTTTTAACATTCCTTTGCTGCGGTGGTTGTGTTGTATCTGTTGTTCGAAGAATGGCGGATTCTAGCGCCAGGTATCAGCAGGTATGTGACAACAAGGCCTCCTCTAAACCACCATCATTCTGTTAGCCTCTCACTGTTAGCCGCATATAGACAGCCCCGTCTTACTATGTCGTTTTCTATAATATGGACGTTAGTCTGTATTAGGAACATATAAACCGGTTCTAAAAATATATCTGAGTCACTTCGTTGTGAGGTTTGTTATTGTTACCGATTTAAATTTGCTGAAATGAGCCTAACATAAACACAAGCTAATACGCAGACCTCAACCGCCGATTCGACACAGAAGTAAAAAGAGTTTAAAAGTATTGTTAATTAACTTTATTCCGTAGTATCTTAGACTGTGAAGTATTTGAAATACTCAAACCAAACACAATTTTTTTTTTACAGCAAAAACATATTCGTTAAACTCATTAAAACACAAACAACAAAACGATTGAGTTTAAATACACTTTATGGAGTCTTTAATAAAGCTGTTATTTAAACAAGTAATTTTCGGTCTAGATCATTTTATTGTGGTTAAAAGTGCTCCTCATGTTTATCTGTTTAACCATGACTTAAAGTAAACTATGTTCTAGCATACATTTCCAGGGCTGCTAACTTTCCATCAAACCTTGGGGTGAGATTTTGAAATACAGGTGCTGGTCATAAAATTAGAATATCATGAAAAAGTAGATTGATTTCAGTAATTCCATTTAAAAAGTGAAACTTGTATATTATATTCATACATTACATACAAACTCATATATTTCAGATGTTTATTTTGTTTAATTTTGATGATTACAAATGACAAATGAAAATCTCAAATTCATCATATCAGAAAATTAGAATATTGTGAAAAGGTTCAAAATTGATGGCCCCTGGTACCACACTCTAATCAGCTAATTAACTCAAACCACCTGCAAAAGCCTTTAAATGGTCTTTCAGTCTAGTTCTATAGGCTACACAATCATGGGGAAGACTGCTGACTTGACAGTTGTCCAAAAGACGACCATCGACACCTTGCACAAGGAGGGCAAGACACAAAAGGTCATCGCTAAAGAGGCTGGCTGTTCACAGAGCTCAGTGTCCAAGCACATTAATAGAGAGGCGAAGGGAAGGAAAAGATGTGGTCGAAAAAAGTGTACAAGCAAGAGAGATAACCGCACCCTGGAGAGGATTGTGAAACAAAACCCCTTCAAAAATGTGGGGGAGATTCACAAAGAGTGGACTGCAGCTGGAGTGAGTGCTTCAAGAACCACCACACACAGACGTATGAAAGACATGGGTTTCTGCTGTCGCATTCCTTGTGTCAAGCCACTCTTGAACCACAGACAGCGTCAGAAGCGTCTTGCCTGGGCTAAAGAGAAACAGGACTGGACTGCTGGTGAGTGGTCCAAAGTCATGTACTCTGATGAAAGTAAATTTTGCATTTCCTTTGGAAATCAAGGTCCCAGAGTCTGGAGGAAAAGAAGAGAGGCACTTCATCCACGTTGCTTGAAGTCCAGTGTAAAGTTTCCACAGTCAGTGATGGTTTGGGGTGCCATGTCATCTGCTGGTGTTGGTCCATTGTGTTTTCTGAGGTCCAGGGTCAACGCAGCCACATACCAGGAAGTTTTAAAGCACTTCATGCTTCCTGCAGCTGACCAACTTTTTGGAGATGCAGATTTCATTTTCCAACAGGACTTGGCACCTGCACACAGTGCCAAAGCTACCAGTACCTGGTTGAAGGACCATGGTATCCCTGTTCTTAATTGGCCAGCAAACTCTCCTGACCTTAACCCCATAGAAAATCTATGGGGTATTGTGAAGAAGAAGATGCAATACACCAGACCCAACAATTCAGAAGAGCTAAAAGCCACTATTAGAGCAACCTGGGCTATCATAACACCTGAGCAGTGCCACAGACTGATCGACTCCATGCCACGCCGCATTGCTGCAGTAATACAGGCCAAAGGAGGCCCAACTAAATACTGAGTGCTGTACATGCTCATACTTTTCATGTTCATACTTTTCAGTTGGCCAACATTTCTATAAATCCTTTGTTTTTATTGGTCTTCAGTAATATTCTAATTTTCTGATATGATGAATTTGAGATTTTCATTTGTTGTCATTTGTAATCATCAAAATTAAACAAAATAAACATCTGAAATATATGAGTTTGTATGTAATGTATGAATATAATATACAAGTTTCACTTTTTAAATGGAATTACTGAAATCAATCTACTTTTTCATGATATTCTAATTTTATGACCAGCACCTGTAGTTTGGACAGGAAGCCCTGTCAGGGTGAGATGAGGACAGGTACAGCTACAGGTTGGAGGTTTTCAGAGGATTTAACTGAAGCAAAGTTGCAAAATTAGTAATTTTTATAGAACAGTAAATGTTACTGACTAACAATAAGTGGTCTGTAGTTATGTTGAAGATTTTTCTCACAATATACATTATTTTCTACATTCTGGTGATTTTTGCAGAATCAAAGTAAAGCAGAATGGGCCCTACTAAAATACTTGCATCTTAAATATACTTTAAATTATATTGAAGTAAATTAAACAATTGGGAACTAATTAGCTATTATTGGTTTACTGGCATTGATACAGGAACCAGAGCAAGCGAAACCTTTGCAAACAACACTGTGTATGAATATTTGTATTAGGCTAAGAATTAAAAAGCTTTATTCATTATTTTATTAGTTTTTCTTACAATTGACAAAACGGCTAAACAATTTAGACTTTTTAAGTGGCTGTAGATTTGATAAAATCTCATCATGACAGGAGACTGCACTTCTCTGGATGTTTGAGTTGAAAGGTGTGATGGAAATTAAGTTTTTAAACATATTCAATGGACCAAAATAAAGATAAATAAATAAGATTAGTAATGATAAAAGAAGAACATCTCTGTGGTTTCTCCTCTATGAATCCAGGATATCTGATTTATTCTGCACATCCTCTCTGAATGTGGTTGGTCTTTTCTTGGGTGACTGATCTTTTAAAAAGCAATGGTTCTTTTTGTGGAGCTTCTATGGATTTGAGAGGCAAACCTGAAAGCTTTAAGAATTAAAATATTTGCGTTTGTTTAATTACTCCTAAATGCCAATGGGAGATTATTAAACTAGACTGAGCAATAATTATTTAACTTGTGAGCAAAACGTGGGCTAAAACTGGGACTAAAAAAACAGCAGGTAAAGAGAAAACAAACCATTGGATGTGATCCTACACTCAGTCTCTACATCAATAATTTAAGCTAGCTGCTGTATTTTTTATTCTTATTTACTCAAGTACTAGATTGCTTAAAATCTTCAATAATATACAAAGTGAATTATCCTAGTCCAGATGGGATAGGATAAAAATTAAACTAAAATAACTCATAACAACTGTCTTTTTTCAATATTTAACACAGTGAATAGGTGGGAATACGGACTGGATATGAACTTGGCATGTTCTCGTGTGTTAGTACTAAGGTTGTATTAAAAACACAGACTGGATTTTGATCACCATGGTATTTTTATACATAAATAGGTGGAATGGAGTTGAGTTTTAATGTCTGTCATTTTTTAATGTGGGAAATTGGGAATATGGAGTGAGAGTGTGTGAAGACACTGAGATGGGTGAGTCTCACTCCCAGTGGGTGAGAGTTAACAGCCCTGCATTCATTATTTACCTTTCAATGTATTTGCAGTTCATGCAGATAGACATAAGAGTAGGAGATGCTTTAAAACGGACTGATGGGACTTTATAAGTTTTCTTTCTATTGTCCTTTTCTTTTACCAATCTGTGTGTTTACTATTATAACCATCACAGGATAACTATCTTTAATAGTGATTTCTGGTGAAACATAAAGTAAGGTTTCACCATCATAGAAATGCATTTTATCTGTGTGACTCCAACCTTCCTAAATTCTACCTAAATATGTAAGAAATATTTAAGAGGCTGGTTTAGTTTTTTTATGATACAATCATGCTTGCTTATGCTTTTGATAATTAACACTCATGATGTCCATGTTAATAATTTTTGAGCTTTTCTTTCTTCTTTTACCTTGTTGAAAACATCTGATTATTTAGAAATTTGACGTTATGTGAAAATAACTTAGCTCTGGATTTGGAATTCTTTTATGCGTAAAGATCCCTGTAGAAGAAGAGGGAGCAGCTAGTTTGAAAGCTTAATTTTGCATTTCCTTCTCCAGCTGCCCAACGAGGAGGAGGACACGCATGAGACTCCTCAGCTCGCCGCTGATGCTCCCCCTCCATACAGCAGCATTGCACTGGACAGTCCTGGTAATAATGTTACTCATTGGCTAAAAATCTCAGAAGCTCAAGTCATTAATTTCATCATATAGAATCTTCAGCAATCCCTCACATCAAGCATGCATGCAGCGACAGTGGAGAGGAAAAACTCCCTTTTTTCCCATTCTTTGTCAATGGCATTGGTAACATGATTCTTGGATATGTTTTACCAGTGAAACCTAAGTGAACACCCAGTATTCAGGAAAAGTAATGATATTCATCTGTTTCTAACAGCATTGATTACTTTCCAGCATATTTAACAGAAAGCCCAGTTTTGTGTAATGTTAGAAAATTAATAGGTATTGTTAGAGTAAATATGGATGCATAAAACTATGTAGTGTTTGTTTTTTTGATATCCCCAGACTTTACTGTGGGGAAAAATGCCTTTCAAGTCCTGCTATTTGAAATAGAACAGTATAACATTCTTATTTATGTAACCGTTGCTTTATCTGCAGCCTACTTTGACCACAAGGAAGATGGGGTTTTCCCTAAGCCTCCATCCTACAACGTAGCAACGACGCTACCTTCCTATGACGAAGCAGAAAGAACTAAAGCCGAGACATCCTCTCCTCTGGTCGCAGCAAGAGTGAGTAGCTAGCTTTTTTTCCTTCTGTCATCTTCTTATCTGTAAACAGAACTCGCTCTCACATACAGAGTTGGAGCGTGACTCCCCCTCCCAGACTCGTCCGGTGTTTTTCGTGTGGCAGGAAGTGTACATCAGCCTTTTAGGAGATGTTTTTTGTGCTCCTTTCATATCTGATGGCATCTCTGCTGTAACTAAAGCCCTTTCACAAGAATGGAAGTTGCTCAAAAATTAAACTGAAAGGAAAGATCTTTAAAAAATATATTATCCTTGTGTCTAAGTAATTTAAAATAAAGTAATTTCAGTACACATATTAGTTTGATGTTTTTGTTTTTAATTCAGTTTATTAATATAGCACCAATCCACAACTCATGTCATCTCAATACACTTGACAGAGACTATTAAACCAGATCATACAGTCAGATTGGTTCAATGTTTTCCATCTAAGCAAAAAACTAGCTGATTATATACTCTACTGCAATCCCTCACACCAAGCATGCATGCAACGACAGTGGAGAGGAAAAACTCCCTTTTTTACAAGAGGAAAGCTACAGCAGTGCGAGAGCATTCTCCTGCCGAGGCTGACTGGGGTTCAATGAGACAGAAGTAGACATACGAAAGGAACATGGAAGCACTGATCTATAAATAGATTCTGTCAGAAAAGGTAACGGTAAAGTAGCTCCACGAGGGTTCCGATTGGGAAAGAAACAGTTGAGCAGATGAGCTCTGAACCAATTTTCTTATCAAAGAGATGAAAGAGAACGCATCCAGTTAGTCAGTAAAAGCTGAACCCATAGCTATGTCAAGGAGAGGAACAGGACTAAACACTTAAAAACAACTGATGCTTCCTCCAGGATTATGTCACAACCAAAACTAAACGGTTACTATGACAGGAAAGGGGTCCCTATGTCCTCCAGCAGTCTAAGCCTTTAGTAGCATAACTATGGAGATATTTCAGCATAACGTGGCCCACTCTAAGTAAAAGCTAGAATAGACAGGGTGTCTTCCTCACGGACTGAAACTGGTAGTTAGTTCCACAGGAGAGGAGCCTGATAACTAATGGCTCTGATTATTTTTTTAAAACTACTTCTGTTTTTGGTCATTTTTTATTGTTTTAGGTATAAGACACATTTTCCGTCTGAACAGAAAATCGTGTCAGACGAGGTCGTGGCGTTTAGCATTCATTGAAAATAAATGGGGATGATCACACCCTACATGGATTTACACATGTGGGATTGTTTCGGTGCGACTGAGATAGACCCCAGGTTTATTTTAGTCAGATTACGCAGTAATTCAGCGGCACTTTCACGGGTGTGACAGGAAGAGAGACACGGTTACAATTACTAACATTAGAGATGGTGTAACTGCTGGGGCACTGATGAGGCACCATGATGATGCAGATTAACCGCATGACTTGTGATTTAATCTGTTCCTCTTTCATTGGTTCTTTTGGTTGTGTTTCTCTGCCACTCTTTGCGACAGCAGCCTCATCACAGAGAACGCCTGGAGACTTTTGACGATATTATTCCTGGTTCACTGGAGGTAACTTGTAGCAGTGAGCTGATGTAGTTTTAGTTTGTGGTGTGAAAAACAGAAATGCCCCGACATCGTCTTACGTTATCAGTATCCCACTGTGTGTTTGTGAAGTGTTAGTGATTCCTGAGTCAGCTTTAAGAGGAGATCCTCTGAATCTGCTGAGTTTAAGGGTCATTGTTCTCATGATGAATTTAGGGCTCCTGTGTTGTGATGTCTCCATTCGTCTAACAAATCTGTCAGATCACTTTTTTTTTTATTCTTTAAAGTTTGTTTTCTTTAGTAGCTGATTTCTTTTCTAGATAAACCTAAAGATGGAAGTATAAGTTGTCTGAAACTCAAAACCATGACTTTTCTCAAAGTACACCACCTTGTAAAAGTATTCACACCCCTTAACATTTGGACATTTAGCTAATTTTGAGCTCTTCTTTAATATTTTGAAGCCATTCTTTTTTTCAGGATTATTTAGTATTTTTCTGTCCTTATCTCCATCATGTTTCTTTTTTAGTTCCTTACTTAATTATTATAAACCAATTCATGTTCAATGTGAGGTAGAAAGTAGGAAAAACAAACTGTCTTTTTAACCTGATAAAACATCAGAGTTAAGGAGCTGTGAACACTTTTGCAGGGTACGCTAACAGTCAGGTTAGCCAAGTCCAGCTTCTGTGATATCTCTTCAGCCATTAATGCTTTCTGGGATTTAATCTGTTGCAGGACGAGGAGTTTGTCGCCAGAGATGATTTTGATGACGCCGATCAACTCCGAATAGGAAATGACGGCATCTTTATGCTCACATTCTTCAGTCAGTTCATCATTGTTTAACAATAAATGACTTCTATGGTTTCTATTTGTGGCCCTCAAGTCCAAAACCCCTTCTTCCTTTTCTGCGTTTCCCCCTTTGCAGTGGCTTTCCTGTTCAACTGGATCGGCTTCTTCTTGTCTTTCTGCTTGACCACTTCGGCTGCCGGACGCTACGGTGCAATCTCCGGCTTCGGACTCTCCCTCATCAAATGGATTCTCATCGTCAGGGTAAGAGAAATAAAACCGATTACCTCACTGCAAACTAAAATGTGGCTTCTTTGATACACAAGTCATAATAAAACCTTCATAAATCTAAAAAGCCTTAAAAGCTCTGGTATTTCAGAGCAATTTCTCTGTAGTGGTCAGCCTGTTTGTCCTGAGCAAGAATCTCTTCATGACCACCCTCCTCTCTTCAGTTGTTTATTTTAATCTAACCATTGAAGTCATATTTAATCTAAAGTTATCTGCGTCTGTCTTTGTTGGGTTTTAGTTCTCCGCATACTTCCCGGGTTACTTTGATGGACAGTACTGGCTGTGGTGGGTGTTTCTGGTAATGGGTAAGTAGCATTTCCATAAATCACTTTATCTCATGAGGCCTGTTGCAGCAGGTCTGTAAAGTAAAAAAAACAGAGCAGAACTCTGGGATAAATGTATTTGAATAGCTTTATTTCAAACAATTCCGTAAAACTACAAATTTAACGCTAACATATGATAATCTATTTGTATCTAAATTTAATGTATTGCTTATATTTGGAAAAGGTTGTGAAGAAGAAACTTTTAAGGTGTCTTGTTTTTTAAGAGTTGCACACTAATTTGTACACTGTGAACTTTACAGTGAAGAAATTTGGAATTATTTTGTGATCTATGAAAAATAAACAAAACAAAAAGATATAGCTTAAGATCCAGACTGTAGTTATTAAATACCACCTCCAGTATCATTAAAATTAATCACAGCTGTCAAAGTGGTTCCAGAAAGGATAGTGTGGCTGCAGGTTTACTTTCCAATAAAACAATAGCTCACCAGACTCCATTCCTAACATCAATTCATCATCTTCAGATTGGACTCCCTTGATGCAATTGCTTGGTTTGAAAGAAAACCTTCAGCCATCCAGCCCTTTTTAGAACCACTTTGGCTACATTCACACTGCAGCCTGAAGTGACCCAAATCTGATTTTTTTGTCCATATGCGACCTGGGTTTAATCTTTTCATGGCAGTCTGAACAGCACAGATCCAATTTTTTCACATGCGACCCAGGCCACTTGGCTATGTGGTCCTGAATGCGATCTTAATCTGATCTTTTCAAATGCAACTTGTGTCTGAACTGCTAGGTCGCATCCATCCGACCTGAACGCCATTAATACCTGACAAAGGTCACTATTCTGGGTCTTGCTATGAAGAACCGGCAAGAAAACAACAACCATTATACAACCAAGATTATATAAAGGCATTCAGCAATGTACACAAGTCAGCACAGAAGGTATAAAGAAGAGGTGGGAAAAGGAGAGAAATATGGTTATCTCACCAGACACTTGGACCAATATATGTCAATTTCAGTGGACAATAACAGGGTCGAATACATGGCGAGAGTTCAGTTGAAAGAACATAATCAGGTACTTTATCACGCCTATCCAGAAACGTCATCAAGGTGGTGATGAAGCATGTTGGAGACTGTGGGGTCACTGGTGCCAAACACTTCCATATTTTTTGGGATTGTCACGTTATAATTAATTATTGGACACAGATAGGTCAACCTGTTAATAATGTATTTGGTACTAAAATTCCCCTTAAATGTGAAACACTGTGTTTGGGTGATGTTCCTGTGACAAATAGGAATAACAATGATAAAAGATTACTTGGTATGTTACTTATTGCAAGCAAAAAGGCCATCATAAGAAAGTGGCTGAGAGTGGAACCTCCAACTATTGAGGATTGGATCAATATAATACACGAAATATATGTCATGGAAAAGTTGTCTTTTTCCCTCAGGATGCAAAAGGACATATTTTACAAAATTTGGACTAAATGGACTGAGTACATAAAACCCTTAAGGTCAGATTTTGTATGAATGATACGTTTCTGTACTTAAAACCTTGTCTTGCGAATATTGGCATACTTCCCATATATGTTTATGTTTGTGTTTATATATATATGTATAAACGTAAAAAAAAGAAAAGAAAACAACAACCATGGCGGACGATGATGCGGAGAGCAGTATTTACCGTATTTTCACGACTATAAGGCGCACTTAAACGTCTTTTTTCCCCCTCAAAATGTGCGGTGCGCCCTATGCTGCGGTGTGCCCTATGTGTGTTGTAACTGCGACTTTTGAGACCACCTCATTGAGGAGATGATGAAAGAGTGGCTGAATGTAAGGAGACCAGGTGTTTTTTTTCCACTCATCACCATCGCTGTTAATATGTAACTCCATGCGTGCCCATCTCACAGCTGATGTGAAAAACATGGGGAAACAAATTAACGCTGTGCTCGCTGTTCAACCGCTCGACATCGGTGTGAACCGGACCCAGCAGGTGCAGCAGAAGCAGCGAGTTTACATGCAAAGTCAATGGTTGACGCGCGTATAGGCGCAGCAAAAGGTCCCGCAGCGCGTTTTGAGCTGCAGGCGCAGCGCCTCGGGAGCGTTTAAGCATCTGACGCACCGCCAACGCGCTGCTGCAGCTCGAGATGGACAAATTGAAGTTTTGCTGCTGGACGCGCCGCATCAACCAATCAGAGAAGCTGATCTGGGAGCTGACAGCGAGACAGACACAGCGCTCTGATGACATATGATATTGCCGCAAATGAAAAAGGCTGGATGGATGAGGAGATGATGAAAGCGTGGCTGAGGCAGATGTATGTGAGGAGACCAGGTGGTTTTTTTCCACGCATCACCATCGCTGCGTGCCCATCTCACAGCCGATGTGAAAAAAAGGTGAATCAAATGAACGCTGTGCTCGCCGTTATCCCGGGGGGTCTGACAAAGGAACTTCAACCGCTCGACATCGGTGTGAAGCGGCCGTTCAAAGTAAGGCTGCGAGCGGCGTGGGAGCGATGGATGACAGACGGAGACCACAGTTTCAGGATAAGTGGAAGGCAGCGCCGGGCAAGTTACGCCACCGTTTGCGGATGGATTGTTGATGCTTGGAATAACGTGTCTGCTGGCTCTGTTGTTCAAGCTTTCGCAAAAGCCGGCATTATTTCTGAGGAGCCGCGCTGCACGGAAAGTGACTCTGACAGCGAAGAAGGGAAATTGGCATGTCTGATTTAGCGCAGCTGTTTAATTCAGAAACAGAGGATGATGACTTTGATGGGTTTGATTAATACTTTGTAATAAATACATGAATAAAGCACAATCATACTCAGTTTTGTTCCCGCTCTATTTTTCTACCTGAAAACTTAATTCAACAGCAGCCTCTGTTCACCGTTGACCGCGGCGGCTGGCAGGTGTTTTTTCATCTAAATAATCTAAATCTTGCAGCTATATTTGCTGTGATCAGTGGGAATAAAGTAGTTTTAATATGTTTTTAAGTGAGAAAGTCCACCTGAAAACTTAAAAATTGCAGTCAGTTCATCCAGATTATCTATTTCTGTCGGAGCCGCTCAGACCCCCACATACCAGCGGTGCATAGACAGTAGAAAGCCCTTCATCAGCAGCCTCTAGGCTGGGCAGCCTCCGGGTTCACGCGGTGGCTGGCAGGTGTTTTTCATCTAAATAATTTTAACTGCAGGCACCAGGATACCGGTAATAATAGCGGACATATTCCGTCGGCAGGTTTCAGGATTTTATGTTAATTTAGGAGTAATCACAGCGCTGTGTCATCTGCGATGTGTCTGTCTCACGGCCAGCTCCCAGGTTTGATTAATACTTTGTAATAAATACATGAATAAAGCACAGTCATACTCAGTTTTGCCCCCGCTGTATTTTTAAATACGCAGTAGAGGTATTTAAAGTTAGTAGAGGACATGTACCTGTATATAAAAAACGCGCCCTATAGTCCGGTGCGCCTTATGTGTATGTTAAATACAGAAATGGGACACATAACTGAGACTGCGCCTTTTAGTACGGTGCGCCTTATGGTCGTGAAAATACGGTATGTTTAACCATCTTGAAAAGATTGTGTTTTTATGGTTGGGAAAGATTGCTAGATGTGCTCCGGCACTACCATCCATGTTTACTTGCGGAAAAAAAGAGCACACTGGCCTGTGACGTCATTGCGTCTTCTACTGCGCATGTGGGACACTTGCGTTGCATGACTGCAGTTCACACAGGAGATCACATACAAGTCGCATATATTTGGAAATATGAACGGCAACGGAAAAAAATAAAATAAAAAATCAGATTTCACAAAAAAATTGGAACTGAGCATCAAGGCCTGCAGTGTGAATGTAACCTTAGACGCCCCTGAAATAAAGTCTGTATTCAATTTAAAAATACTTTACTAATCCCAAAAGGAAATTATTATTATTATTAAAGGTATTATTATTTTTTGATTATTTGAAAAATAAGAACCCTAAGCTCAAAGTGTGTTACAATGGGAGTGGAAAGGAAATAAACTAAATAAAGGCTCTTTTCAGTATTCAGTAAACGAGCATCAAATAATTCCTCACTAATGAGGACTATAATGTTTCCATGTGACATACAAATCAATCATATCGCTGCAGGAAAGGATCAACAGGTTTTAACCATTTGGTAAATCTTTAACAGTAAAGCCATTAAGTGGACAGTGATTCTAACAGGCTGCACTAATTCCATTTCTAATCTGCTTTGAAACATTGAATTATATCGTTTTAAATGTAATATTTATTTTAATGGTCTTATTGTTCCTCTTTTTTTATTTTCTCTTTAGGTCTCTTGCTCTTCCTCCGTGGATTCATCAATTACGTAAGAATCCGCAAGATGGCAGACACTTTCTCCACTCTTCCCCGCACCCGAGTCCTGTTCATCTACTGAGCCTCAAAACCAAACTCTTTATATTTCAACATTCTTTTTACTCGGAGTCAAAAAGTGCATTTTCTTTTTCTCATCCAAAGTTTGATCTATTGGACATTAATCTCCCCTTTTTAGTGTAAAACAATGAAAAGAGAAATCTCTACAGCACTGAAATTGTAAGTGGTGAACTGCAAGATGCTTTCTCTAGTTGTGATGTTTTTAAATGAGAAAGGCATTCATTTAAAAATGTCACAACTAGGAAAGCATTTCACAGTTCACCGCTGCCCCCTGGTGGATAAAAGGGAGAGCAGTACGCAAAAATAGTAAGGTATTATTTTTGTCTACTGTTCTCCCTTTTATCCACCAGGTGGCAGCATTGTACACTTTATTTTTCTAAAATCAATTTCTCACCATTGCAGAAGAGGTCGATTCTCAGCCCAGGGTTCTGTGGGTAATTCTGGGGGTCTGGATTAATTTAGGCAAAATTATGCATTTCAGTATCATGTGCTCATAAATTCTCTGACCAATGCAGTTTTTTGCTTATTAGATATAAACAATATAGTTGATGTAAAGGGAATGTTTTATTGAAGATTTTGTTTTTCAGAATCAACCTTAACAGCCAACTTGGACTTCAGTTTTCAGTCAGTCACATCATAATCAACCGCACAGATAACAGTCACACTATGTAGCCCCGCCCCATTAAAAAACCCAATCAAACAAGAAACATAAAAAAATTCAGTGTTTTATTTTTGTGGGTTCAGCTACTAAGAGGTCCTTTAAAAATGAGGCCAGGGGCCACATTTTTTGATCATAATAAAACATTTTTTGTAATCATGCATTTACTAATTGTCCATATACTTGGTATTATAAGATGATTTTGTTTGCTTGTTTTGTACCTGCCGAGATGTTTAAGTTGATAACAGAGAAAGCTTTTGGATATGTTTATAATTGTTCTCTGGATTTAGATGTGCAATGTGACATTTTAGGCTAATAAATAATTCCAACACCTTAAAATAATCATTGATGTCCTTAATGCTTGATTAGCAGTGGAACTGTTTAAGAAGCACTGTGGTTCTGCCAGTTATTTTAGGATAAATTCTGTAATTTTTGTCCATTTGTAGCAATGAGTTCTTTTTTTCCCTGTAGGATTCCTTATGGATACAAATGTAAGATTGAATCTGGAATGGAATTGCCTTGAATCATGCTTGGTGTGGAAGATCTATAAGGTTTTCCTGCGTCATCTTGTTTTTTTTAATTCTTTCTTGACTTGATGTCCTTCTACCTAAAGCACTAACCCTTGATGTTCCTCCATCCCCCTTTGTGTCCCATAATCCTCCCTGACCTATATTTTCTGTTTCTGTATATTTTCTATTTATTCTTATCCCTTTATCCTACTTCTTTCTGTGTTTCTTGTCTTCTGTTAGGTCATTATTTTGTTGCTTTTGACCTTCCTTATTGCTGCAATCTTTGTCTCCTTCCCCCTTTCCTTCCTCCTTGTTCCCTTGTCTCCCCCAAGTCTCCTTCCTACCTGCCTGCCTCTTCTCAAACTTCCTACCACAAAAATCCTCTGGAACCTATGTGCTTGATATATCATAAAAAACAGGGAAACAAGGAAACATACGTTTGGAAAAGTAGGACAATCTTACATGAACATGTGAACTACAGAAGGAGACTTTAAAAAGGTTTAAATCTAACAGACTCTTGATACGTGCTAAATTTAACACAGGAGGCATGTGGTTGCCAGAGTGGAGAGGATTTACTGCCAGCGGCTGCTAATTACACATGTCAGCTGGGTTTTTCTGTGCAGATGGAACAGGAAGCAAAGGTCGCCCCACCTGGAGGAAATGTTGCACCAGCTGAAACAGACGGTTGTTCTGTAGAAATTGATTTTTTTTTTATCCCAGTGAGAAACCTTTACCATATCAACTCCCCCAATGATCATCAAGTTTATTGCCAAGTAGGTTTGCACTTACAAGGAATTTGACTTGGTGTTGATGGTGCAGAAACATTAGATATGTACAGAATCTACAGCTATATACAACATACAATGTTCTATATATAATATACAGTGTATATATAGTATAAAGTGGGCTTGTATGAGCGATGCAAGCAGCAACTTTTAACCCTCTCCAGGCAGATGTTGCAGATTTGCAACAGCTAAATGCCACTTAGCTAATTACTCCATATCCATATTTTAAGAGCTTTTGTTACTCAGGAGTACAACAGCAGGACTTAGTTGTGCATTTGCAACAAACAGTTTCTCTCCAGCTCACCAGATAGCACTGCTGACTCACTTTCAACATGGCTGAGTCCTTGGTGTCACTGAAACAGATTTTCTAAGCACCAATTTCATGTAAGTATCACTAACAATTTCCATTATTTTGAAATCATTACTACATAAGATGAATCATGAATGAGTATAGATATGACACATGCAAATTAGTAGATTTTATCTCCTCTGAGTTTTTCGCCAGAGGCATCTTGATTTCAATGTTGTGGATTTGCAATGTGTGCCCAAAGAGGTACCAATGGATGCTACATGCTTTATCTACTAGTTTGCCTATATTTTGAGCAGCAGTTTAACAGAAACGGCCTTCTCAAGAGGTTTTGAGATGTCGGTGAAGAAAAAGTTTGAGAAAAAGTTGTCTCTAATTCTGTGGGATAAATTTTTTCCCCCCGAATTTTGTTAATTTTTTTGTTTGTGAAATTCAAATAAAGTTAACGTTCATATCAGATTCAGTCTTCAGTGTTAATTTACCACTCCGGGCCACTGTTGCAAATCTACAACATCCCAGATTTCATTGCATGTGAAGGTCTCTCTAAAAAATAGTCTGAATTGTATATTACTACCCAATATGATCATTTTCTCCAAATATCAGAGTTTTCCTGCAACTACAACTTAATTTGAGCCTGAGAGGGTTAAACAGAGTGTGCACCAGGAGAAATGGGCTCCCGCATGCTCTTGCACGCTTTTAACAGGTGTTCCATCTTGGGAGCGGGTACAGGGTTGTGCATGTGCATTTGTTTAAGTGGAGAGGGCGGGTCTTTTCAAAAATGTGCAAAAAATTCTCCACTATACCTTTAACTGTAACCACATAATACTATATCACTGCCTTATATATATATATATATATATATATATATATATATATATATATATATATATATATATATATATATATATATATATATATATATATATATATATATATATATATAAAAGAAGTCCACCTGTTGTAAACTCGGCTGACTGGAAAGGCACACATCTCTCTATAAGGTCAACCTCACAGCTGGTATTTAGAAAATAGGTGAAACAGCCAAAGGCAGGCCTGCCGAGTTCTCGGCAGTGATTAAATCAACAAAATAATGAAGTAAGGCTGTGAATACTTAAGAGTTTTTGTATATTTAAAAAAATGTGCAAAGTTTTTCATTTTTCCTGTGATCATGGTGCACTGTGTGTAGTTGATAGTTGATAAATGTAAACCCATTAGGAACTGGCCTATTTTATGATACAGTGTTGGTATAAATCAAGTGCTGTACAGATGAGCAATAGAAAAATGTCTTTAGTATTTTAAAATACTATGTTATGGTGACTCATACAATTATGGGAGAGATTTTTGTTACATGTCAAAAGGAGAGTTATCCATGAAAAGTCATCAATGAAGCATGATATAAAAAAAAGTAGTGGAAAGAAAAAGTCTAGCAGAAAAAGTTGCACTAACAACATGGATTGCTGCAACCTTGTGATGTTTAGTCAAACATTTCTAAAAAGTTAAATACCTGCTTTATCACCATGATCCGTTATATTCCTAAGATTGGTTAGCCAGAACACTGGTATGACTTAAACCACATAAAAAGTATTATTATCTGGAAGATAACTAAGATTATGATGCAGACGGGTTAAATGTCGCTATTAAAACAACTTTTCTAACACTTCAGCAAAGCCACAGGCTGATCACCTCCATCACACACCCTGCTGTTTCCGTTATTCATGCAGAAGAAGCTCCAGAACAATTTTTGATGTATTGATCTCTATTAGTAAACTGACATCAGGATTGAAAATGTTTGTTTGTTTTTTTGGGTGTTTAATATATGTTTATTTTGAGAAACAAAATTCAGGATTTTATTAGCTGTAAGCCATAATAATAATCGTATTTCACCAAAATTAATATTTGCAATATGTCAGCTTGTAATGAATCCATATAATTAGTTTTCTTCACTTTAAATCAGAGGTCTTCAACAGGGGGTTCGTGACCCCTAGGGGATCCACAGAGGTACTGCATGGGGGTCGCAAACGTTTTGGTTGATTAGACTTTTTTTTAATTTCCCCCCTGCAATTTTTTTCCTTTAATTGAAATGTCTTTAAATACACATTAACGTGAATAAAAAAATAAAAAAATAAAAAAACTGTTGTAAATAGATAAATGGAGGCAGAAGATGTCTTTCATCATCAATGCTCACATTCAGCGACACACAGGAGCTCTTTCAACCTGGGCACCGTTTCATTCACAACACCTGTCCCATCAATGAGGAATCAGAATCAGAAATACTTTAATAAACCCAGAGCGAAATTACTTTTGTTACAGTACTACTCCATCTGTATTAGAGTGGCTAGTGTACTGTATTAAAGTGACTTCATACTATATATATATATATATATATATATATATATATATATATATATATATATATATATATATATATATATATATATATATATATATATATATATACAATTAGGGGGTCCCCCCCTCCATCTCGCCATCAGTTTGGGGGTCCTTGGCTTGGAAAATGTTGAAGACCATTTTGATGGTATTTTCACCTTTAAAATTAAATTATCAGCTTATTAACTAAATGATGCGATGACAAAACTAATTAGAGATTTTATGTTAGATATGAATGTAACATATTTATGAAGAATTGACAGGTGAAATGTTGTGTAAATAATCCTTCTGTTCATTTGGTTGCTGCCAGAAGGAAGATCTAGTTGTAGCAAGTTTTAACGCCACCTAAATAGCCTGCAGGGTAGAGGGAAAAGAGAAAAGACAAAGGTTACCAGAAAGACCTTCAACACTGGTCCAATGAAACACCGCGTCACCAGATGACCCCGGATAAACAAACTTCTCTTTGCCAGGTGCAGAGAGGGTTTAACTGTTGACAGAGTTTCAGTCCGACCTCTGCAATGCACACAAACAAGAAGATTCAGATCCCGCTCTGCGCTCCTTGCATCCCCTGGGGAACGTCGCTCTTCATCAACTCCTGCAGGGTCACCCGGTGCAGGTGTTCTCGTTGTCCAGATGCCATTCATAAAACAGCAACGTTGCGCCAGGACCTGTCCGTGGCTTGTCAGCTGGCGTCGATTTACACAGACGGAAGTTATTTCTCGGAGTAATTGATGGGAATAATGTGTGCTCGCCAAGTGCTTTCAATGCTTGCATGTTTTAGCTATCAGAAGATAAGAGGAGTCTTTATGATTTACAGAGAGCGTGGGACTGCTTCACTTTTCTGGCTTCAGTTTAAAAGAAAAGTGTATGTACAAAATGCAGATTCAAATCATTATAGGGAAGGCCTGGCGTCTGAGACATTGGGGAGACTGAGAATTTAAAACTATTCTGCCTTAATGTCACACAGATTTGATGTGAGATTTTGTTTAATACTGATACTCCAGCCACTGTAAAATCCCAATAAGCTTATTATTAATACTAGAACTAACCAATCTGGCAGAAAAAAAGAA